CTCCCACCACTTGACTCATCCATTCCTTTCTGAGCTTTCCAACTCCGTGATGATGAGATAAACTTCCACCTTGAAGTAAGATTTCATCTCTTGCTTCAGCTTCAATCTCTGAGAATGCCTTAATTGGATCTTGTAATCCTCTAAAGATGAATCCATAATAGAAATAGATACAGGCACCAGTTTCGTATACTTGAGTGACACGAGCCGAAACCCATGGTGTTGGAACATTTCGTTGCTTGGCACTTTCTTTGACTCTTTCTTCTACTTTCTTGATCATTGGAACGACTCTTGACCAAGGAGCTGAAGTTTCAAAACTTTCTGACATGAAATAATAATTGAAACCATAATCTCTCAAATACGCAATGACATAGGTCAGTAAATAACCTCGATAACCAGCTTCAGCACCTGCCACAAGTCCTCCATATTTAGCAGTTATGTCATAAATAATTTTCTGTTGCCTGTCAATGTCAGATTGACTTCCTTCGAATAATAAAGTAATGACACACATCTTTTCCTTATCAAATCCACAACCCTTAGTAACGTACAATCCCTTAAACCAATCACTAAGGCCTTCAAGCTTACTTTCTTGTTTAGGTTTTAGTGATTGACCAAACTGAAATTGAGAATTGTCAATTAGACGAATCGAAGCAGGAGCAACTCTTCTATTCGAAACTTCATGAAGACAAGCAACTCCTGCCTCAAAATCAGGAACCAACACAGAGCCATAAACTTGACATTCAGGACATTTCCTTACTCTTAATGTCACTTCTGTCACAATTCCCAAAATTCCTTCAGATCCCATAAATAGCTGCATCAAATCTGGTCCAGTTGACTTTCGTGGAACATTACATGGAAGAAACCAAGTTCCCTTTGGAGTGACAATCTTGACATTTACCAACATATCTTCGATATTTCCATATTCATTCTTTTTCATTCCTGATGCACGAGTTGCAATCCAACCGCCAAGAGAACTGAATTCAATGCTGTCTGGTTCGTGACCTAGTGTCAGATTGTATTTTTGTTTGAGTTCTTGTTGGAGATCAATACCAATGGCACCTGATTGGATGGTGGCAGTGTGACAGGTCATGTCAACATTTAAAATTTTGTTCATTTCTTGAAGGTCAACTGAGACAATCATTCTTGTTTCATTTTCTGGACAGAGTAAAGCTTGTGTAACGTTCGTTCCTCCTCCATATGGAATTAATGTCAATTCATTGGAATATTTAGTGGCAAGTGACACAATCTTCTCGACATGTTCATGAGAATTTGGATAGATTACAACATCGACCAATCTCTTGAACTTTCCAAATCTTAATTGATAAATCTCTTGACAACAATGTCCATGAGAATGCATCAAACGAACCTCATCATCAAATGTCAAATATTTGTAACATTTGACTTGCCTTAATTCCTCAATAAATTTTTCACAAATATTTGGCTTGTGAATTTTTTGTTTCATTTCTGACCATGATTGACTTGAAGATTCGAATTTTTATTCAAACCTGTGAAATTCTCAAA